AGTCTGGTTGCATGGAGACAGTGGCAGGTTGGTGACATGCCACGATCGTATGGAGCATGTTTCTGAAGCGACGTCGTCACTTGCAGATGTGGGTCGAACGTCGGCGCCAAAAAGCCCGTGCCACTCGAAGGATCGACCGGTACATTGTCAAGAAGGCCATGATGCGGTGGGCAAGCCTCACGCGAGCTCAGAAGCACCGCGCCCGCATGGTCGCCATCACTCGACGTCAGTGGGTGCACCACAAACTCCGACAAGTGTGGCGGCACTGGACCACGTACAAGTCTATGCGTCGCAAGTACGTCCAGGGATGTTTGAAAGCATTCAAGCACCGTCGCATCAAGTTGGAGCGACGGGTGTGGCATGCATGGGCTACCGCCACTGCGACACACTTGCATGCTCGGAAAAAGCAGAAGCAAGCGACATTGGCCGAAGCATTTCACGGATTTCGGCGCGCAGTGTGCAAGCAGCACGCCCGGCGCGATGTCGACCGACGTACGAGCCATTTGGCAACCCGGCATGCCCATCACTGGGTGCAGCAGTGCATGACACGGTATTCCACGACAGTTATTCCCGTGTCGATATCAACCATTCATGGCTGTAGATGGAGGGTGTTCGCGCTCCAGCGCCGTAAACCGTACGGCCTCATGCGCTTTGCTAGCTCCCTACGTAGCCATGCGCTGCTGGGTCGGCTGTGGACGTGCTGGCGCACTCAATACACTCAAGTACTTCAAACACGGCTACAAACCGCCGACGCGAAGGCAGCTCAAAACGTAGCAGAACGAAGCCGCGTCATGGCCGAGATGCTTCAGCTCAACGACACGACGATCCAGCTCGCCGAGCAGGTGTCTACTTGGAAGGCCACGTCAAAAGAAAAAGACGAGTCGATCCGTACGTGGCAGCAGTCCCATGACAAAATCGACCAAGCCAACGCGGTGCTTCAGCAACGAGTTGTCGCTCTTCAGCAACGGTTGCAAGACATGGAACAGGCGCGACTCGATCAAGAGCGGTTGGACGAAGCAGACAGGACGCAGTATGCCGAGCACGTCGGTGCTGTCGAAGCGACAAACGAAGGGTTGCGGCGGCAGCTGCGGAACAGCCAGGATGCATTACTTCAGACCCAGCAGCAACTTACGCGAGAACGTGAGAAGCATCAACGACACAACGATGACAAGAAGAAGCTGCAGCTCCAACTCGACCAAAAAGTTGACGTACGATCGCCATCGTTTGCGCGTGGAAACTCATGCTCTCCTCTGCAGGAAATGGCCAAGCTCCAGCGATCGTTGCAACGGGTCGAGGACACTCTTGCCGTCGAGCGGGCCGAGCGCCAAGATGCAGCCGCACGCTGCAAAGACTACGAGATGCGGCTGGCCGACACGGTCCGAGCCATACAAGAGCACGAAGCGGACCAAGACAACCAGCTCCGGCAAACGCATGATGTCGCACTTGACATGGAGCGTCGGTGGAAAGAAGCCGAGGCAAAAAATACCGAGCTGGTCAAACTGCTCGACGAAAAGAACAACTGCGTCGCGGCGTTGACGAGTCAAGTGCAGACGCATCGGTCGGTCGAGGCGCATCGCGTGAGCGCGTTGCTTGAAGAAGTGCAAGCAAATATACAAAAGAACCAACTCAAGACACAGTGCCAACTCGACCAGCACGTGGTAGAACCCTACGCTCAGGACGACATGCACGAGCTCAACGCACACACGGCCACGATCCACGACGACATCAAGGCGCTGCAGAACCGAATCATGCGTCGACTTCAGCAAACTCCTCTCGACACTGTGGCGGCGACAACGCGACAAGGCATGGTGTCCCACGACGTACCAAAAGGCAAAGCGCGGGGAGGGCTCAAGGCATCGACGAAACCCCAGGCGAAACCCAAGCCAAAGTAGGCATGTGGCGAAGGAACCAGCGCCAGCCAAGACTATTTATTCCAAAGGAGAGACTACGGGGGTGCATACTGCATTTGTCGAAACGATGGACGAGCTTCGACTACATTCCATTCGGAGAGACCCTAAGATACACGTGACAACCAACGTACTGATGGCATGCACGCACCACGGGGGATGGCCCGCCGTCGTGGTCAGGCATGTCGTTCGGGTTGTACTCGGGCAAAATACGTAGGCTGGACGCCATCGCGACAAGGGGATGGCCTCCCATGGCCGCAGACGACTCGGCCATCATTTCATGCAACCTGAAGCAAGGTAAAGTTCAATTCAACTAGAAAGGTTGGGTACCGTTCGGTGCTCGGCTTGTGTGGCGCGCAGGAACCCAGCGTCGGACACTCAGCGAGCCGAATCAAATTGCCCAAACTATCAACTGGGTCCAACTCGTCCAGCATCATGCCCTGCGCAATGCACAAGTATGCAACGTTTTGCCACAGCATGGCCACTCCTCGCGCAAACCCCATGCTTCCATCGGGGTAGAGTGTGTGACACCCCGCCCCTTCGCCGCTCTGCTCGCCGATCGTCGAGAAGGATCCGTTGAAGATCATGGGGTGCGGATACACCAGAGGGCTCAAGTACTTTGGCAAGAGGATCAGCAGGTGTATCATCCGGCCAAGTGCAGCCGACACGACCTCGGGAGGAAGATGCTCTGTCGCTTCGTACTGGCCAGACGATGGCACTGGAAGCTTGACGATCGTTCGAAAGTACCGCAAACGTGGCGCGGGAAATAGCTGGAACAACTGGAACAGCTGCAGCACCTTGGTCCGACGCATAGCCGTAAGGTTCTGCAAAGTACCGTCACGCTGCCATGCAACATTTGCTCGAGTGCATACCTGTTCGTTCCATCGGAGAACCCGACCCAGGCCTTCCATAATGTAGTCTACTCCGTCATCTGCTTCGCCTGCCGCGGTGGACTGGCCGTGAAGTCTAGTCTTCGCGACGAGGAGTTGTGCTTGCCGCTCGGCAATGTGGTGCTTCAACTTGGCCAAGGCGATGCGTTCTGCGGGACTCACGTTGCATCCACTACATATGCGTGTTTCGATGAATCAAGGAGTTACCTCTGTCAAGCGCGATTTGGCACCGCTCCCGTTCTTGCTGTTGGTCTTCCAACGCTTGGATGTCGATTTGGTATGACGACAGGTCCTTACTCTCAAGAGCATGGGCAGATTTCTCCCGCAAAACAGCTACATCTGCCCACAGCGCCATGAGGATCGTTCGCTTTTGCTGGACGGTGCTCCCCGCGCAGTTTGCACACAGCATGTTGATGCGATCGGACGACTTGGCGCATCCGCCGCATTGCATCGTCGATGAAGATATTCTCACTGGATTTCCGGATAATTGATCCCGGATAAAACAAGCCTGGACAGGTTGTGCAACCGGTCATTTTGAAATCGAATGACCGGCCACGGAAGGGGACGAGGCCGATCTTACGAGGGCCGCGGTGGTCGCACTGGCGGACGAGACGGCCACAAGCACGAGCATGCGGAAGCAAACAAGGAAAGAAACATCATTGGTTTCTTGAGCAAACCCTTGTCAGAGCGATTTGCAGCATTGCATGCGTCTGCGCTTCCTGTGAAGAAGAACGTCACACAGCAAAGTGCAACACGCGTTCAAGCTGTTCAAAAGGCGAAGCGTCAAACGAACGTGAATACACGCCGAGGTCTTTCCGCTCCTCCTCCTCCCGTTGCCCACAAACCCGCCACTGCAAAACATGAAACAAAAAAGCTGGCTCGGACACCCCAGAATATTCGAGGGATCAGCAGTAACAGGGGTCGAGGTGGCCGGGGACGTGGCGGTCGTGGAGGCTACGGAGGACGCGGGAACCACGGCATTCGTGGTAACGATCAAAATGCACCCTCCACTAAACCTGAAGACTTGGACTTTGACATGGATACGTACTGGCACCAAGGAGGCAAAGGGCCGGACCCGAAGCAGGCGGAATTGGATCGTCAGATGGAAGCGTACTGGGCGGCAAAACCTGAGAGGGAGATTCCAGACTGGTCCTCCTAATCTAATGTACCAGTGCAACACCGCGACTTTGTTGACCAGTTAATCGTACAGCGCAGGGTCGTACTTGACCCCTTCGAGCTGTTTCTTCCACGTCGCCCACTCAACGGCCGTGAGCAGCGGGGTCAGGACCGCCATGGAGTCCCGCGCAATTTGCTGGTACGCCTATGGGGCAACATGATCAAGTACGAGGTCAAAATTGACGATGGCGTGCCTTACCTTTGCGTTGAAATGGTATCCATCAAATGCCTTCGAGTCGCTCCGCCGCACAACGGGTGTGGAAAGGTCCGGCGTGAGCTTCACGGGCAAGTCGTCCATCTTGGTTCTAACGCATGCACATCAACACATCGCAAGGAGAAGGACGCCACGTACGACTCGCAGTAATCCACGAGCGCCTGGTTCGTCACTCGATGGGTTTCGTTCTCGGTATCAAAATCCGCATGGCACAGGGACCCGACGCACACACGTTTGCCCTTCTTCCGCAACGCGTCGCAAATCGCTTGAATGTTGCAAACAGTTTGCTCGGGGGAAATCGAAGGGTTCTTGCGTCTACGTTGTAAGCACTGAGCACTGGCCAATGGACGGACTGGACTGCTCCACCTACCTGGAATCGATGGACCCAACAATGACCATCACAATGTCGGCATCACGGAGCTGGGGCACAGAAAACACGTCTTGGAAATACTTCCAAGGGAAAATGTGTTGTTTAGAATGCGGAATGTAAGAAACAGGTAATGGTACCCTTACCTTGGTCGACGACGTGGGGTGCCACTGCGACGAATCCGTGTCGAGGATGCCACGGTTAATGACTTGCCAGCGGTGTCGAATCTACACGCTATCGTCGACATAGAGTACTCGAAAGGGCACCCACCCTACCTTGTCCTCCTTGGCCACTTCCTGGGCAAGGTATTGTGACAGACCACCGGACGTAGCCATGGTGATCCAGTCGCCAAACCCAGCCGCAAACCCATCGCCAATGATCACAATCTTGTGTTGGTACTCGTTCGCTTTCAACACAAGACGAAGTGGCTGGGTCAGCCATCGACAGAACCTCAACCATAGCCAAGCAGCGGCCGTCCGCACAGCCACATACACGTACAGCACGAGCGGCAGCATGAAGGAATCAACCCGCGCTTGCCGCGTTCAAATATCTTTTTGAGCGTTTCTAGAAAATACAAACGACCTTTGATTTTCGATCCTATCAACGTCACTCGGTTTTATCGAATTTTGATGTTCCACAAAAACCTGTCATAGAGAAAAATATTTTGAAAAACGGATACTTCGAAGTATTTGGAAACCCTTCACTACAGCGAGCCATGGACCCAGCTGGCAACTCGATGGACCAGACACACACCGACGACGAGCGCTTGCGCCAAGTAGCAGCTTGCATCCCGATTGTGCCCTTTAAGGGAGTCAGTTTCTACGACATTGGAGGCCTGTTGGCAAGTCCCGTCGATTTTGCCATCTGCATGGACCTCCTCGTCGCGCACGTCGAGCCCTTCGCCAACCGCATTACGTCAATTGGATGCTTTGACGCCCGTGGGTTCTTGCTTGGCCCAGTGATTGCCATGCGTCTCAAGAAGAAGCTGTTCATGCTTCGCAAGCCAAACAAGATGCCTCGGGTGTCCCATTCTGTCCGTTACGGAAAGGAGTACGCTGGCGATGACCCGAACGGAGGCGACGACGGTCTCTGCATCCAAGAAGGCGCCGTTGTTGCGGGCGATCAAGTTCTTCTCATTGATGATTTGCTTGCAACGGGGGGCACGATGGCAGCTGGAGTGGATTTGGTCAAGCAATGCGGTGGTCAAGTGCTTGCATGTGGATGCCTCATTGAACTCGGCGTGCTCCAAGGACGACAGCGCATTCTCAGCCGCCACCCTGGCACTACCATTTTCCACCTATTGTCGGAGAATCTGTGGGCGGCGACATCGTAGCAGTGGCGGACGGTGGAGCCCTCGTGGTCATTGCAATATCCAGCCTCACTGGTGGATGACACACGTCCAACACACTTGATGGCGGCCCCAGAGTCGGGAACATTATCTTCACATGAAGGACATTGTAAACTGTTGGATTCGTCACCAGCAAGAGCCTTGCATCGTTGTTCGGAAGAGGCTTCAGCAGCATTGATTCAGGGCCCTTTGATGTTGGAAGGTGCAACCCCTCGGTCCTCTCATTGGGACGAGATGGAACCAATTCGGGCCTCACCGAAAAGGTAGTGTTAGCCGTGTTGAGAGGAGTTCCGTTCCTCGCTCCACGGTGGACGTCATTGCCATATTGACCTGTTAGGGCTACTGCGATCGTCGCAATCTCGAACACCGATATGCATCGTGGACATTTGGTGGGGTAGCAATACCAGCGTCCCTTCCACTCCATCGAGGTGCGATCGCCTCCCGAGTCCTGCAACATCCCACGAGCGTCGGCTGGTTTTAGCTTGTCTACCAAGTGGAGTTGAGCGTCCACGTGACATCTGGGGCCGCCATGCATTCGCATCACCAAGGATACACATGATCCCTTCCATGTAAGCCAGAGATGAACACTTCGTTCACGGCATAGACATTCGAATGTACAACGAGTGAGGAGGCGTGGAAACCTTTCTCCGTTTCATTTCGTGCCCTCTCTCGTCTCCCTGTTTTGCACAACTTGCAGCTCGTGCCTTGTGCACACGGCAGCATGTTTCGAGCATGTCTAGACGCACCACGACAGTTGAATCGTGATCGTCCTTGACTTCTCGACCCCAAGGGGACAGACAGCAACAGGCACACGAGGCTCATGGCCTTTACGATTCCATTCGTCGACAACAGCGCCGTGCCGCGGTGTTTCTATACTGCGCGCATGCACTCCCACTGCGGGCATGGTGGCGGTGTGGTTGCTTGTCGACAATCTATTGGTTAAAATGAGAATTTTGATGTTACTTGATTGGCTATAATTGAAAAATGGTTGCCCCTCAAAACTGAGGTGCCGGCATCTTTGGATCTCGCCTTCGACTCAAGTGACTTGTACCAGCGGGAAGTGAGATGTCGGGCAGCCATCTCTCCAAGGATTTCTTTGAGCTCGTCAAGAGCATCGGCGAATCCAAGTCGAAGCAGGAAGAGGACCGAATCATTGTGTCCGAAGTAGCGCAGCTGAAGCGCAAGATGACCGAGTTGAGTCAAGCGTCCAACTCCCAGGCCGCGCAAGCCAACAAGAAGAAGCAAAAAGAGTTCTTGATCCGACTCATGTACGTGGAAATGCTCGGACATGATGCTTCCTTCGGATATATCAAGGCGGTGGAAATGACTGCGTCCACGAATCTCATCCAAAAGCGCGTGGGGTACCTTACATGCTCGCTGACGCTCTCCCCCACCCACGAGTTTCGCTTTATGATCATCAATCAACTGCAGCGCGACCTTCAGTCGGCAAACCACCTCGAAGTGTGCTCGGCGCTCATGGCAGTCTGCAAACTTGTGACCACGGAGATGATTCCTGCCGTACAACCCATGATCCTTGAATCTCTTCGTCACGAAATTGAGCTTGTCCGCAAGAAGGCCGTGATGGCCCTCCATCGGTTTCATCAGCTCAATCCCGATAGTGTGGCTGGCATTGGCGACAGTCTGCGCCGCACTCTTTGCGATCGTGACCCGAGTGTCATGGGGGCAGCACTGTGTCTCTTGCACGATGTAGCAGTGATCACTCCGTCTGCGTACAAAGACCTGGTGCCCAGCTACGTGAGTATTCTGAAGCAAATCACGGAGCACCGCTTGCCGCGCGAGTTCGATTACCACCGCATTCCTGCCCCGTGGATTCAAATCCGACTGCTCAAGATCCTGGCGCTCCTCGGCCAGGCCGATCAAACGACGAGCGAAGGCATGTACGAAGTCCTCCACGACGTCATGCGCCGCGCCGACACAGGAATCAACGTCGGATACGCCATCATCTACGAATGTGTCCGCACCGTCACGACGATTTACCCCAACTCGACGCTTTTGGACGCGGCCGCCGCGAGCATTTCGCGCTTCATATCGAGCGACAACCACAATTTAAAGTACTTGGGTGTCACTGGGCTGGCTGCGATTGTAAAGGACCACCCGCGGTACGTAGGTCCTGTATTCTCTCCGTTGTGTTTGCCCGATCTCACGGACCGGTCGCAGATATGCTGCGGCCCATCAAATGGCAGTGATCGATTGCTTGGAAGATCCCGATGAGACGCTAAAGCGCAAGACCCTCGACCTTCTCTACCGCATGACGAATCCCGTCAACGTCGAGTTCATCGTGGCCAAACTCACAACATTCCTTCGCGAAGCGACGGACGTGTTTTTGCGCACGGAATTGGTGTCCCGCATCACGCAATGTGCCGAACGGTGGGTGGACGTAATTGCGATTTCTTTGACGTGGCATTATCTAGATTTGCACCAAGCAATGCGTGGTATATCCAAACGATGACAAACGTGTTTGAGCTGGGCGGGGACCTGGTCAAGGTCGAAGTGGCGCATAACCTGATGCGCCTCATCGCGGAAGGCAGCGGCGACGATGAGGACCAAGATGCGGAATTGCGCCGCGATGCCGTCGACACGTACTTGGAATTGCTCGAAAAGCCCGTCCTTCCCGACATTCTTGTATGCACGATGGCGTGGGTGTTGGGCGAATACGGGTACCTGTCGGATGCAATGCACGTCGACGAGATCGCCGAGCGATTGTGCGAGTTGATCGACCGGCCGTTTGATAACGAGGACGTAACCCGCAGCTACATTGTGTCTGCAGTCACGAAGCTCCTCGCCCAACTTGAAGGCCGCGGACTTGCCGTCGCAGAAAGCATGATGCACAAGTACAAGACGTCACGCCACATTGACCTCCAACAGCGATGCTTGGAGTACTTGGCGTTGAAGCCATTTCCTGAATTGCTCGTCCGCACCCACCCCGTTGACGCTAGCTGTGAAGACCTGGATGTGGACGTGAACTTGTCGTTCCTGCAGTCGTTTGTCGACACAGCGCTTGCCAAGGGAGCTCCTCGGTACGATCCCCCCGCTGATTTGGACGACGACGACGGATTTGGTGGTCGCCGGTCCCAAGTGCAGCTCAACATCGAAGCGTACAAGAAACCCGAGTTGCCGTACGCTGGCGTCAAGCTCCAAAGCAACGATCCGTTGACTGGTGGTGGTGTTGCATGGGCTCCGTCAGGTGGTCCGTCGTCGATGTATCCCGCACCGGGAGCTACCCCGGGTGCCCCTTTCGGTGGCGCTCCTCCGGCTGCCGCTGGCTGGGGATCGCAGCAAAAGTCTGTGCGAAATGTGTGGGGCCCCACTGGTATCAACGCAAACGAACCGTCCCAGCAACAAACTCAACCGTATGGCATCAACCAACCTCCGTATGGATACCCTCCTCAACAGCAGCAGGCTCCGGCCGCGCCGTACGGTGGCGGACCTTCAACCACGTACCATTCCGAGTCGTCGTACCGCCATGATGATGAAGACACGGATGACGATCCCGTTGTCGACGAGCGAGCTGTCATGGCTGCATCGTTGTTTGGTGGCGTGCCGGGTGCCGGCCTACCCGCCGCAAAACGTGCATCGGTGAAGAGCGCGGAAGCTCCTGGGTCGCTGTCCCGGAAACCGACGGTGAAAAAGACGATCAAGCGCAAGTCCGTCAAATCCGAGGGCGACCAAGGGAGCAACTTCCTGAACGCGCCCCCTGCACCGCAACAGCAGCAGCAACCTGCGCACGTGGATTTACTCGACATTTCGTTCGACTCGAACTACGCGAGTAACCCGTTGTCGTCGACCAACAGGTACTTGGACCCGTTTGCCCCGCAGCCAGCTGCCGCCGCCCCTGCTGCTCCGAAGCCTGCCGACGCCGCTCTGGACCCCTTTCAAATGAGCGGCCTCATCAGTTCCATCCTGCCGGACAAGTTTCAACACCAAGGACAGTCGTTGGAACCGTGGCAGATTACAACGCAAGAATTTGGCGGCCGTTGGGGCTCGTGTCCTTGCGAAATCAAGGCATCCGTCGCGACGTCCACGATTCGGTCGCTCGACGACTTTTGCCATCGGATCCATGGCAGCGACATCAACCCTGTCGAAGCCATTGCGCAAAGTACGTCGCCCTACCCGTTACGAACTGATTTTATATGGATGCTAACGTTTCGTTGGATGTGTGTAGCAAGCGAAGTGATTGCGGCCGGGCGCCTGCGCCACTCCGACGCTGTCGCGCTGATCCACTGCAAAGTGCGACCTGGCGCGTTGGACATCACGGTGCGAACAGCCGAGCCGGCGTTTTCGAACGCGTTGAGCGCGTTCCTGGCCCAGATTTTGAAGTGATTGTTCGCGGACGTGTCGACGTTTGGCTAGCCCTGAATCGAGTTTGTGTTTTTCGAGTTGCTTTTTTCTCGACCGCAAACGCGGTTTTTTTTCAACTTTTCGTCGAAAATCGATGAAATGCCCAACCAGGTATTTCTAAAAATACGCGGAAATTCCACGTAAGGTCGATATCGTACTTGATTGAGACGGTTCCGGATAAAATCCGGACACACCGGAAGATCTTTGAGTCGGATCTTTTCACAATCGATTCCTGTGCAGGCGCTGCTCGATCAAGGGTCGCATTGCTGGAAGCAACGCCTTACGTACGACGGTCACGCGCCACGCACTCATGGGACTGTTGGCTGCAGACAAAGATCACCATGACGGACACGACGATGGTGGGAAAGAAGGCAAGGAAGCGTTGGCCCGCGTCCTTGAACTCACTCCCGCGTTGACCCAACTTCCTCCCAGGTCCACAGACGCTGAAGGAGGATGGGTCGGCCAAGAAGCTCAGCACCTTGAATATGTCGTGGATTCTGTTGATACGATCAAAGGACTCTTCCATCACATCTCTAGACTGGCCAGCGATGTGTATGGAAGTTCGAAAAAGACGGAGGCTGTGGCTGAGTCTGCACAAGACCCGTCGGCGTCCTCCGAATTTGATACGCGTGTGTCTACGTATCTTCAAAACGTCCAAGCATTGAATGCAACGACGATGAAGGAAAAACACAACTACGAACAACGCCTTCTTGCAGTTCGGAATGCGTCCAAGAGTCAGCGCAAGGTGAGTCCGCCGCCGTTGCCACTGCCAACTCAAAACTGCATGATTCTGGGTTGGGACATGGCGATTCAATTGATGAAAGCCACTCGAAAAGAAGGTACTGGAGAGACGTACCTTCGCGCCGTCCAGACCATTCAAGAGCACTTGTCGACACTCAAACCGCTGGCGTATTTGGACGGCATGTACGTAAGTCCGAGCGCGAGTCAGTCCTTCAACCTTCTCTGCGACTTTCTCATTCAAGCCGCCACGGTCATTCCAGGGCGTGACCCCGCCATTGAAGAGGAAATTGCGAGGCAGTCGATCTCGGTCCTTTGCGACTTGGCTCTGGCGCGCGGGTCGCTGTCGTATTTGTTATCGTCTGTGCTTTGGATGTTGTCTTGTCCAGAAAATACGCCATTGCACTTGCATCCGTTGCTGACCAAGGTGGCTGCGATCAAGGAGCAATCCTTGTACGGCATTTGCGAAGCATCGGGTGAGTTGTACTGCTGTGGCCAAAACTCGTACGGCGAATTGGGCGTTGGCGACGACATTGAGCGCCACCAACTCACCTTTGTCCCTTTTGGTGGCTGGGACGACATCAAGCAAGTTGTAAGCGGCAACGAAATCCTCGCCATGCTCACGAACAGCGGTGTCGTTCTCACTGCGGGTTTAAACAAGAGCGGGCAATGCGGTCATGGCCATTTTGACGAGCGCGTGATGCTACTTCGGCCCGTCGAAGCGTTGCGGTCCCAGAAAATTCGGTTCATTGCCGCCAGCAACGGCTGTGAACACATGATAGCCCTCACCGAAGCGGGTCTTGCGTACTCGTGGGGCTACAACGACCGTGGGCAACTCGGTCACGAAAATTTGACCACCAAAATTCATCAACCCAAGCTGATCGAGAGCATTCGTGACAAGAAGATCTCGTTTGCCGCCGTGAGCTACCACCACAGCGCTATCCTGACGGACAAGGGCGAGTTGTACACGTTTGGGATGAACGATTGCGGCCAACTAGGGCAAGATACGACGATTCACGTGTCCGAGCCGCAACATGTCAAGGCCCTTGAAGGTTATGCTGTCTCGATGGTGAGCTGCGGCTTGTACCACACGGTGGCGTGTACATCCACGGGGGAGCTCTTTTCGTTTGGAAAGAACGACTACGGACAGCTGGGTGTGGGCCACAATCGCCAGAGCAAGACGCCGTGCTTGGTTGCAACGCCGAACGAAAACATTTGCTTTGTCACGTGCGGGTATTACCATTCCGTGGTCGTGGCTGCAAGTGGGCGATCGTACTCGTTCGGGCGAAACGACTACGGACAACTCGGAATTGGCACCAAGGTCCACCAAAGTGTGCCGCACTTGATCACGCTCGGACCGCGCATCACGCGAGCAGCGTGCGGGTGTTATCACACTGTTCTCTTGTCCGAGCAAGGTCTGGTGTACACATTTGGACGCAACAACAAGGGTCAGCTGGGAAACCGCGGCAACACGGACTCGCTGCTGCCCGTTCCGCTGCATGTCCGACCGGAGAAAAGCGCACGACGGGTGCTCGACATTGCAGCCGGGTTTTACACCACCTCGTTGATTGTCGAGCGCAAGAAGGATGGGGATGTAGCGACGGCCGACCAGAACGTTGTGTTGCCATTGTGCGGCCGCGTCGACATTGATCGAAGTGGCGAGATCGAAGGCCTGAGCAACTTTGGCTCGATCAGCGCCGTTGGAGTGAGTTTGTACCGTGGCAAGTGGTTCTACGAAGTCGAAGTAGTGACGTCTGGATTGATTCAGATCGGGTGGATTGACGGGTACTTTCAAGGATCGTCCGACCAGGGCGAAGGCGTTGGTGATCACGCGCACTCATGGTCGTACGATGGCAATCGCCAGCGCCGGTGGAATTCTGGCTCGTCCGCGTACGGCGACAAGTGGAAGGCTGGCGACATCATCGGATGTCTCCTGAATCTCGATGACTTGGAAATGCGTTTCTTTCGAAATGGAGTGGACCTTGGTGTCGCGTACTCCAACTTGACTTTGATTGCGTCGGATGCACGTGCCGGTCTCATGCCCGGTATCAGCCTCGAGCGGGGCGAGATCATTCGACTCAATCTTGGCCATCGCGCGTTCGCGTTTCCAGTGAATGGCATCGATGGTGTCGCACGCGCCATGGTGTCTCCATCGTCGCAAGTGGTGCTCCAAACCGCCACCGTCGCAAGGACCGCCACAGCACCCGAGGCATTCGAAGGATCGGCGCGAATTCTCGTGGGGGATAAATTGTTTGTCATCGGCGGGATGCTCTCTGGTCCGACTGGAGTTGGCAGCGGTGTATCGACAAACAAAGTTTGGGTGTATTCGCAATCGGACAAGACGTGGGGTCGATGGAGCGACCTCCCCATCGGCATTCGATACCACCAAGTGGTCGCTGTCGATGACCATACCTTGCTTGTCATCGGGGGTGAACACGATGGGCCGGTCTCGCGGCACTTGGACCTCTATCGTGTGTCTACCATTGCCAACGCCGATGGCTCGTTCCCACCGTGGGAGTTGGTCCAGAGCACTGCTGCGACATCATCCGTGCCACCACCTCGCGCTCACCACACGGCAGCGGCCATTCGCATTCGACTGGAAACGCTTGTCCTGCTCTACGGCGGCAAATCCAACGACGACACTCTCTTGGGTGACACGTGGTTCCTGTCGTTAGAGGACTACTCGTGGGCAAAGCTGCCGTCGTCGGTGGCCCTGGACCCTGGCCCACGTTTCGCATGTACGTCGTGTGTCGTGGGTGAAAGCGTGTATGTATTTGGCGGGCTCGACAAAGAAGACCGGTATCGTGCTGACCTGTGGCGATACAACACGTTTGATCGGGTGTGGCACTTGTGTCACGACGATTACATTTACACTCCCCGCACGTCGTCATCGTCCGAGAGTGTCAAGGATTTCAACCCACCGTTGCCGACGCCACGGATGCACTACAGCATGGCATCGGACCTTGGCCATATTTGGATTTACGGGGGAGAAAATCGCAAAGGCGACTTGCTTGGCGACCTGTGGGGATTTTCGCTGACCAAGTTGTCATGGTGTCCAGTCGAAGTTGAAACGGACGACAACGTCAGTGGGATCGGGCGCGCGGCCCTTTTCATCGAAGCAGGGAGCGTTTGTGCCTTTGATCCGTTGAAGCCATCGACATGCTTATTGTACGGCGGACGTGTAAGCCGCACAGCGGGCAGTGGAGCCACGGCGAATGTGACAACCAAGTGGGAAACCATGGTTCGATACCTATCTCCGACATCCAGCTCGAAATTGCCGTCGTCGTGCACTCCGTCCTCGACGTCGTCGTTGTCGTCGCTTGCACAGCTTAGCAAAGCGTCTACTGTGTTGGCCAAGTTGCGTTCGAAGGAAGTGTCTTTGCTTTGTCCTCCCACGGCAGGTGACACCGCGCTGTGTTTGTTGTCGCACTTGGACCGCTTGATTGGTGACGACGTCCCGCTGGCGGATACGGACTCTATCCAACCGTCGCGTTGCAGCTACCGGTCCCTGTGCATCGATGCTCGTGAATCGTCCTTTGCGGTCTTGCTTCAGCTGCTCCATCGGCTCTCGTCAACGTATTTGAATCCAATGTCGAAGGCGACCAAGGACCTGTACTCGCTCGTGGTCGTGCTTCGTCTCGTCAAGTTCAACTTCTTCGAGGTATGGCTCGTGCTGCCGTTCTAAACCTGTCAGGATTTCTTGTAGTTGTCAACCTCGTGCTTGGATGTCAACGACATGGGATTTGTGCCAACATCGACGGAGCCCGGTGGAACGCTCTATGACCTGCGAGAAGTTCTCTTTCAACTCGCCGACGCGCCGGCGCCATCTCGAACCACGTCGCCAGACGTCGTGTGGTTCAGCCAAGCCATCCAGCGGGAAACTGTCGCGACGATCAACGCGGGGTTTTCAATCATGTTTCCATCCCTTCTCGACCGTCTGGCCATTCTCACGAGACTCTTGCACGACGACAAAAAGACCACGGACGTCTCCAACCTCCTCGTGCCGATGCTTGTTCCCAATTTTGCGTCGCCAAAAGCGCTCTTTGCACTCATGTCGGAGGCGACACTAGTGGCTGAAGGAGATCGCTGCCACGGCGTTGTGATTGCATTTGCAGACAAGCTGCTGCAATCGTTGTGGATCAAGACGTCAGCGACAGGTCCACACTCGTCTTGTTCCACCGATGTGACGTCGTCGATGGAATTCCAGTGCCTGAACGTGCTCCTTCGAGCAACTGTGTTTTGGGCGTCGTCATCGTCGAGCGGGCAAGGGTGGGCCATCGCGAAACACATTTGTACCAGACTTGTGCATTTCATTCAGTTGCTGCTGGACAGTGCTACATCCGCTCAGGTTTCCCCAACTGCGGTGGCGGCTCTACTGGCGACGAGCTTTCCCGGAAAGCTCTTGCCGTTTCTCCTACTCAACATGACCAGTCTACCGTCGATTCAGGCCACGTTTTCGTCGGCCGTGGCGGATCTTTGGCCCAACTTGGAGCTCCTACTGCACAACATTCATGCCTTCATGACTTCAAGAACGAGCAATGAATGTAATTCAACCAGTCTCAAAGGTCCCAACGCTGCATCCGCATCCTCCTCAACGTCTCGATCGTGTTTGGACAACGACGCGCCGTTGCATCATTTCGTGGTGCTAAGCGCCGGCATCAGGAGTCTATTGCATCGCTCAACAGCGTCTCCACCGCCTGCTAAAATGACGGGACTCGAATTTTCCACTCGGTTCTGGGAGCACATTCGCACGACGAGCTCAACATTCTACCGCATCAACGTCACCGCCCGAGATTTTGACTTGTATCGTGTCGTGCTGGCCCCTGACACTGCCACCGTTTTGCAGCAACGGTCGCTAGTGGTTGGATTCCGCGGGCCCCCGGACGACTTGGCAAGAACGCCGTACGATAGCACAAAGATTAGTTTGCACTTTTCGTGGGATGTCTTGACGACCCAAGTTCAAGTGAGCCATGCCGATACCAGTGCAGTTCCCACGACGTCGGGGGAATCAAAAGCCGCTCCAGCAACCAATGTTGTCGACGTTGACGAGGACGGCGCCGGTCATGTGGAATGGCTGCACGATTTTCAAAACTTGCTGTCGCATCTGGGAAGCCACTACGCGTCATCGTTGATTCGCGGAGACGCTGCGGACACTGCGGCGACTTTGACTGCAGGATTGGAACGATGGATCCAGTCGCCGCTCTTTCGAGGCGGTCTGGAGGAACACCCGGCAGCGGGAGACACTCCAACAATCCGCAATGCGCACATTTTACAACAGATTCTGGACAACGAAGGCGCTGGCGCGAAACTCGTCGAAAAAGTTAAAGCCGCTTTAGATCCGGACGCTGCATTGGCCCACATCAACCCGAAACTGCGCGCTGCGTCGTCTCGAATGAAACGAGTGGATAGCGTCGAACGCACCCTCGAGAAAAGTGGCGGTTTTGAGGCTGTGGATCGCGCTGTGCGGTCGACGTTTGCAGTGTTGCTCAAGCATACCCATGTTGCATACACGAGCGACCCGGTTACGCGCGATGGGATGCCTGGAGAGGCGCTTTTGGATGCGTGGAGAGCTGCGCTGCAGCTTCGACGATGGTACATCGATGCATTGGTTACTTGGACCAAGACCCTCAAAACACGTTGCGTAGGATTGTGCGGGAGCAACAGAAATTGGCCGTGAGTTCGTGGTAAAGACTGGACGTTCAAAATCGCCCACGCAGAATATTGATTATAGCATTTCATCATTCTAGTGACGGCAAAGTGAACGACGACGAAGATAATGACTTGGCCAAGGAGCGACAACAATCTCTGTACAAGCAAGTGTGCGATCCCATCGTTGCGCGCGCACGGCTTTTGCTGCAGCTAGCGGCAGTACCAGTTTTCACGCCAGTAGACGTGAGCCATTCGCCTTTCAAGATCCTCCCCGGCATCTCCAACACCCCATTTGGTATGGCGCTCCTTGAGGCTAGAAATCTGCATGCTGAAATCATGCCATGCAACGCATAGATTTCTCCAAGGGCTCCACGTCGTCTCCACCCATGGCACGTGTGGCGCCAGAGGATGGTACAACCGACCGTCAAGCGTGGTTGCGTCAGCTCAACCAGATGATGGAAACCAAATCCATGGATGCAATAGAAGAGGAAGACGAGAAGATTCAGACGGATATCTTTGCGTTTCTACAGCAAACCCCCGATACGAGTGTTGAAGCGGCCATGAAAGCGCTCCTCGGCGACCACCAACTACGCGCCAGCAGACGCCTGCAAGGCCTGAAAATATTCTACACACTTCTCAGCAGCACAGCGTCGATCCCGACCGCTCGTTTCCACATTTTGCCCATTCTTGCAAAATCGTTTCGAGCAAGTTGGGTTCCCGGGTCCGACAAAGTTCACTATTCCCATCAACTGGAACTGGCTGGGCGGTCGAAGATCCAGGCCATTGGACGGCAATTCTTTGCACTAGTGTCATACCTGATCGACCATTCGTCAACGCATCTCCTCTCGCTCAAACAAAAGTACTGCAGCAATTCGACGGACAAGTCCAAAAAGCCCAGTGTGCACAGCATGCACCAACAAGTCCACGCAATGCTGCTGACGCTGGATGTGTCGAGCATTCCTTACACCGCCGATGACTGGTCCCAATTGTCGGCCACAAAATTGCCTTCCTTCTTGACCGAAACAATCAGCTGGAGCAGCTGGAAACAAGTGTTTGCTATCGAAGACGTGGACGATGCAACTGCCATGAGTGAATCCGCGTCCCACCAGAAAGCTCCGATCTTGCCGGCTGGTGTCGGGTGGAGCGGCCTTCCCATTTTGCACGGAACGGCAGTCGTCGTCGAAGCGGAGACTCATATCGTGACAAGTGCCGGGCCAGTCCCTGCTGCCGAAACCATTGCGGATCCATTTGCCCCTGAACATGACGTTGGCGGCTTGGTTGTCGCAGCGCGACCGTTGTCCAAAGGTCGATGGTATTGGGAGATTGTGTGGCGCCACCAAGGTGCCTATCCCATCTTTGTCGGTGTCAGCAATGGGTGTGCCAATGTAAATCAAGCGTTCGGCACCGACGGTAACTGCGGCACCGTGGGGGTGTTTCTCGGCAAGGACAAACTACCCGCGACGTCGAGCGCTTATTACCACCACATTTCGTCCCTCTATCACGTCTGGGCACGGCTGCAACCGATTGGCGTGCTGCTGGATTGCGACGCCAAAACTCTGGATATTTTCTGTGGTGTCAAGCGCGTGCACTCGCTGAGTGTGGCGCACGCGACCACGGCGGCGTTCTTTCCAGCACTTGGCCTCGTGGACGGCGAAGCTCAATGGGATGTGTACGCTCCAGTCCCAGCCCGTATCTGGTCCACAGCGCCAAAATTCACGTTTGTGTCTGGTGGCTTGGCGTTGGATTCGTTTGGTGGCAACGCACTGAGCTGGAATGGGCGAGTCAAGGGTCCGAATCTCCACCTGGCCGCGGATTGCTCGACCGTCGTGGCTGGAGACTGTCTGTTGGCGATGCCGCAAATCGAAACAGTTGTGACCAACAAAGCGTTCCAAGACGGCCAGTTGTATGTCGAGCTGAGCGTGTTGGCGTCTCGGCACCGCGCGCATTTCGTGCTTGGTATTGTGGACACTTCGTTCCATGCCGCACATGAAGCCATCGAGGGGTTGCATCTTGAATATGACGAAATCGAACAGGAACACGACGGCCTCCTGGGCATCCTCTTCGACTTCAACGAAGGAAAGCTCACGGTGTATCAAAAGCGCAAAGAAGCGATTGTACACTCGGTCGATGTATCGGGTCTCACACCACCGTACGTGCCGGCGCTCTCTGCGCTGTGCAATGGCGCGATCTTGTTCACAAACTTTCACCCACACGCTCGACCACAGCTGCCTCCGTCGTCGATTTATCCCTTGGCCAAAAGTACCGTGGCAATCTCGTCCGCGACAGAGAAACAAGTGGGCAAAGTGCTCGATTTCCAAGTCGTGACGTGCGATGGCGGCGAGTTTAGCGCGTCCCACGCTGTCAACAATGCCCTTGTAGACGACTCCACTGTTTACAGCTCGGCGGGTTCGCAAAACATTTCGCTCGTTCTCAAGCACGCCACAGACACACCGTTTAGTATCACGTATGCCATGATTCGCGGTCCTGGGGCTGGGTACACGGCCCCGCTGCAGCACGCGCTCGTATTTGTGATGAGTACGCCACCTGAATTGGACGAGCTCGAGCAATACAATGGCCTCACCCCAGAGGAGTTTGCCGGGCTGCCAACCGCCCCGTCCGACGCTCACGCCAAGCGCGACGAATGCATCCCAGTGTTGTACTTTGTGCTTGACGGCAATTGCTCGTCCGCGTCGAAGCGGTTGACGGTCCCAGTCACGGGGAGGTATGTCGTCGTGAAATTGCTTCGACCAGCCAGTGGCGGAAACATCGATGTCGGCTACATTGGTTTTTGTGGCGCTTTCGACAAAGAAAACGGACCGGCGTACTGCGACTTGTACTGGGACGACTACTTGTGTACAGAGTGCCACTTGTGCCCTATTCCAGGTATCTGCTACGTCAGCGAAGAAGACGAACAGGCTAAATTGTGCTCGAGTTGCTACGACGACCAACGCGGAGATGTGTCGGCGTCGTACTACGCGTGCGTTCCGACCGACGACGAGCATCGAGGTGAAGTTTCCACGTCGGTGCGCTGCGCGCCTCGTCAAGCTTGGTTGGAGTCTGTCGTCGCCTCATACGAATCAACAAAACTCTCGACACCGAGCGACCGCCATTCAGCCAGTCCTGCCAAACCGTTCGCTCCAGATGAAGTCTTCGATGACGTCGAGTTGTTTGCGTGTGGTCAAAACAATTATGGCGAACTCTGTCTCGGCCATTGCAACTCGACGAGTAAGCTGGAACATGTTCCGCTGTTCACGGCCAAGAGCGTCAAGCACATGACGGGTGGCAATGAAGTTCTTGCCGTGGTCATGCGGGACGGTAGCGTGTACACTTGTGGGCTGAACAAGAGCGGTCAGTGCGGCAACGGCACGTTCGAAGAGCGCGTCGTGCTTGCAACACCGGTTCGTGCGCTGGCAGGCATTCCCATTGCCATGGTTGCGGCTGCGAACGGATGTGAGCACATGATTGCTGTCGCTCAGGACGGGTCGGCGTACTCGTGGGGATACAACGATCGCGGGCAACTGGGTCTTGGGTCGACCATTTCCAAGAGCCACACGCCAAAATTGATTGAGGCGCTCCACGAAAAATACGTGATTGTGTCCGCCGGGGTGAGTTATCATCACAGCGCCGTCGTGACGAGCAACGGCGAGCTCCTGACGTTCGGCATGAACGACTGTGGTCAACTCGGTCTCGATCACACGCAGCACCAACACACGCCACAGATAGTCGATGCCTTGGCGAGCCAAGTCGTGACAAACGTGTCGTGCGGCCTGTACCATACCGTCATCATCACTGCCGGTGGTGACGTTTACACTTGTGGAAAGAACGATTATGGCCAACTTGGACTGGGTCACTCCCGCAGCGTCAAAGTGCCGACGCTGATGAAACTCAGCGACAGCGACGACAAAGCCGTGAACGGATGGAGCGGGTATTACCACACCAGCGTGATCACGGACAAGGGTAAATTGATCACGTTTGGTCGCAACGACTACGGCCAACTCGGCATTGGCAGCAAGGAACATCGCAATTCGCCGCACTTGGTTCCGTTGCCGGCAGGATCGAAGGTCACGTCGGCGGCGTGCGGATGCTACCACACGTTGATTTTGCTTGCAAATGGACGGGTTATGGTGTTTGGACGCAACAACAAGGGCCAGCTCGGCGCTGGCGCGAGAACGTTGCCATCAGCGGACCTACCGCTTCCGATTCCGTCGAGCGCGCTTTCCAACGACGACGTTGTGGCGATCGCTGCGGGCTTTTACAGCTCGTATATTCTCACTGGGCGGAAAGCAGACAATTCGAGCAAGAAATCGGGAACGTCTGTGCGAGATGAACTCAAAGACATGCACGGTCCAGAGCACCAGAGCGTGAGCTCGGAGGCACTTTTCGAGTCGCTCATGCGTGAGATGGACCGAAATTCGTTGAGCGACACCCCCAACGACACGTCGCCGCTGTCGCTGAAACGAAGCAACACGTCCAAGAAGCTGCCGTTGCTAAAGCTCTTGTCAGGAGCTTGGGCCATGACACGCACGCTCATGTACCAGTCGCTGCAGTCGAAAAAACCAACGGAAATTCTCAAGACGTTCATCTTGTCGATGCTGGCCAATCTTGCCGAGTCCTCGAAACATGCAGACGCTGTGGCGACACCATCTTCGACTGGTGCCCCTTCCACCGATGACGAAGGATTTTTCAACCTGTCGGACGCGGCGGTGGGCTTGATCAAGTATTGCGCGTCGGAAAAGTCCAAGTCGGATGGAATGCAAATCCCGTCTCAGTTGTTTGGCAACCAAGTGTTGTGGGTGCTGCTGACTTGCGGCTCCGTCCACGCAGACGTCTGTTCGGTGATGGCAACGTCGTCGGTGGTGCTGCAAGAGATCATCCGAGGCATGTTGTCATCGACGCTGTCGTCATCTATTATCTGCATGCGTCTCGGCATGCTCATCTTCCCGCTGCAGTCCGTGTCGGCCGTGAACAAAGTGTACAAATCGATTGCGTCCATCTCGTCCGACATCATGACGTTTTTGTTTCTCGTCGTGGGCTACCCCCTCATGCTGCGACCACCACTTTGCAAGCACGAGCTTGGAGTCGAGTGCTCGACAACGTCGTTGTGCAAATACTTCAACTGCACCAAAGGCGTGGCGGTTGACGCCCCGATTGCCGCCGCCCTGTCGGCGATGGTGGAAAAGCACCACATCCACCACGCAAAATCATGCGAAGCTATCTCGCTCGTGCGATACCTTACCCTGTTTCCAACATGGAAAAAGGCTGCTGGAGCGACGATTGCTCGCGCGCTGGAGAAGACGGATGTCGTGGACGACCTGTTGGCCACGATCTCGAAATTCTACGAGCACTTTGCAGGCGCGACGGGCGACAGTTTGCCTGGCGACGACTTTGTTGACGACGACGTTGTGGTTCGGCAACCCGAAAACACGTCACCCGAGCATGATGACCCGGCCATCACCCCAGGACCGCGACCGAGCGATGGCAACTCCACCGAGAAGGAGAAAAACATCGACGTGATTTCCGAGTCGCTATCGTTCGACAGGACAGCGGCAGCTCTGCGCAAAAAGGCAAAGGACGCGTTAGATCATGCAACGCTCTTGTTGGCGTCGATTGGAATTCTCGGTGGCCACACCGAGTTGCTTCGGGAAGGCGGACATGTTTTATTTGAAGACTTTGAAATGCGGGGTCGATACAAAGGTGGGGTGCTGGTTGGACTCAAGAAGAGTCTTCGCGGTGGCATTGACGGTTGCATTGCAGTTGCAGACGACGTCGCGTTGACCACGTCTCCCAGTCCGACAGACAACCCGACGCTTGTCGTCCCTCTCAAACATTTGCAACCCGTTGAACGCATCCCTGCGATTCCCCAAATGTTTGATGAAAACCTAAGCGACGCCCTTCACGCTCTGTCCAAGTTGATCGTGCCAGCGTCGTCATCGTTTGCGTCGAAACTCGACTCGTTCAATCCTGTTGTCCATGCGAATGTCGGTGTCGTGTTGAAATCGTTCAAGAATCAAATTCGGTGGCGGTCGACCAAGGCGCTTGCGTCAGTGCTCAAGCAACTGCCGTCGCTCGATACGTCCACGAGCAACAACATGGACGTGTCGATTATGTCCAATATTGCAGCTCTCCTGGCGTCGGAGAGCAGCACGACGGTCCAACGCCACGGGAACGCCATCGACGTGGATGACGACAGGCTCTCGTTTTTACACGCCAAGTGGTTTGCTCTCAAGGAACACCAAGCGTACTTGGCGGCCGAAAACGTGATTGATTCCGCCTTGGACGCAAGTGAGAGCCACGTGCGCGACGAAGTTGTCCAGCGCCTCGGAAGTGAAAATGCACTCTCGTGGGGCATGGATGCGATCCAAAGTCCCAAGAAGCGGCAGTCCAGCGTCATGGCCAAAGTCAATGTGAAGCCACAACAATCGATCGACTCGTCGTCGACGGCAGTGCCGCTCGGGGTGTGGGGCATGCTATGTCCTGTTCAAGTTGCAGACGCTGAACGCGACCATTCGTTCAACTCGACCTTTCATCTGCGCTCGCCGGTCGTCCGCGTCGGCCGAGCCACCGACTCGTGTGACATCGTTATCAACGATCGAAGCGTGTCCGGCCGCCATTTTCACCTGCGGCGAGTGCGACAGGACGCAGTCTGCGCTGACGAGTACTTCGAGCTGCAAGATTTCTCGAAGAACGGCACGATAGTCAACGGCGTGCGAGTGCACGGGGCTAGCATCCGTGTTGCCCATGGAGCGCGCATCTCGTTGATTCTGTCTCGAGGAGGCATGATCACGTACGAATTCCACGTCATGCCTCAAACTGCCTCGGTTATGGCCGAGCCTCTGTCGCCTTCAGGATCGGCTCTGTCACTGCTTCCAGCACCCATCGCAGCTGCAAGCGCGAGCGAACCGCAACAGCAGACGCAGCAATCGGAGCTCCATGAGCCTCGAAGTCCTGCCGAGGTTCAAAATCGCGCAGCGTCCTCGGTGACGTCATCGCAAGTCAATACGAATGGCGTGATGATGGGCAACATTCGTGCCCGCTTGGGACCACAAGGACTTCGATTGATCACAACGATCGGCGAAGGCGATGTACCCCGCGCGCTCATCTCGCCAAATCCGGCCGTGGACTCTCCCAGAGTCGGTGGGAACCACCCGGTGAACCCGCCGCCGATCGCGATTTCTGTCCATTCGCCGCGCACACCTGCCGTCGGGTCTCCAATGGCGTATCCTGCGTCCGGAGTGTTGTCCCCGGCATCCTTCCAACAACGAGAAAGCAGCGCGTCCCTCGCGCCACCGGTCCTGCCGCATGGGGAAATGGCCGTGTCGGAAGCCCTTCGAATCGCACTTGGCCGAGAAAGTCTGCACCGCGAGCGAGACCCGGACGCGCTCAGCCGACCTCGAGTATTGTCATCTACCGGAGAAATTTCATATCCCAAGAAAGCCGCCGTGCCGTCGTCGTCGGTACTGGCGTTGTTTGTGTTGTGTGGATGGACTCGATAACAATTTTGTCTAGAAACCGGATGTGAAAGGCACGGCTGTGAGCGATCTCGCCAAGGACTTGTGCACCCGCGTGCGCGACTTGGGCGGTCATGGCGTTGAATTGGAAATGTGCGAAAAGGCGTTGGAGCTTCATCAAGGCGACGTTGTTCGAGCGCTCAAGTACGTCCAGGAGACAATCGGAAAGGCTCAGGTACGCTACCACTGTTGCCACCACCAGTATTGACAAACTACAAGCAGAGTATGGGGCTGAGTCCCCAGCACCACTTGGCGGCGAGAAGTTTATCGCACATTTTGGGCCGCAGCGTGTCGGTGTGCTCGTATGCGCTAAAGCAGTCGCGGGACAACATTGGCGTTGCTCTGCGGACGCTTCTGTTTTCGCCTCCATCGGCGATGGACCATGGCGCAAGTGGGGCTGACCACGGTGGTGACGACGCCCAGGACCATCGAGACGAACTGGTGTCTCAACAGTTTGATAAGTTTGTGTCGCAGGCAGTCGACCAGCTGAGCACATCTGCAGACATGAACGACGCGGAAAACCCGAGCTACTCCCTCATGGATACGTCGGTGCATGCGTCGCCTCGGCGATCGACTCGGCCGGTGGTTAGTCCCGTTCGTAGCTCCAAGGACGGAAAAGCGAAAAAATCGGATAATGATGCAGCCGTGCCATGGAGTGTGTGCAATGCCCATATCGAAGATCACATCAAGGGTCTGAATTGGCGAGACGTTGACGCCGAAGAAGACAGCGTGAGCCAACTGCTGAGTGCAGTCCATGCCCGCAAGTTGCTCTTGCAGGTCATTCGGCTGCTCCAGACGGTAGGCCATTTAATGTTCGATCGTGTCGTTTTCACGACGCCTCACCGTTGCCTGTGCGCAGCATCCCAACAAATCGGCCGAGAGCAGTCCACTTTGCAGCTTCGGCGACCGGTCGACCCTCCGGCAACTCGTGTTGTTTTCCGAGCCAACGGACAGTGGCGCTGGGACGATTGCCACACCGTCGAACGGGCGAATTCAACAGATCCTGTCCCGGATATCCCAGGACGTGCTGAGTGCGTCGGCGGCCCGAACGCTGGAGCACAACATGCGCACGTTTCAAAACATTTCGACCTTGGTGAGCAGCATTGACGAAAGCGATCGCTGCCACAACCAACACAGCACGGCGTTGACGGTGGTGCACACGCTTTTGAGTTCAACCGACGACGACGAATTTCGGCGAGGAATTTACGAAGACTTGGTCATGGACACGATGATGCATGTCATGTCGAAAACGTATTCGTCCAAGGGGATGCTCGACTTTGACGCCAAGAAGGAGTCGGAATATCCCAAGGGGCCATTCTTGCTCTCGAGTGGCCTCGAGGTTGCCGTCGTGTCGTCATTCGAACGTGTGTGGGGCGTGCCGTACCCAGACCCGTTGCTCACGTTTCGCCACAAGTGGCGTAAAAAGACAGGGCTCGACAAAGAGTCGAGTGCGTCGTCGTCCGCAGCGCGTGCCGCGTACGACTGCAGTGTGACATTGTGGAAGCCCGTCCTCCCTCCGTCATTTCAAACGACTCTGGTTGCGCCGGACAAGTGGTTTGCGCTCAGTGTCGTGGCCAAATCCGGCAACGACGCGCCTACGACGCCTCTCGTCATGATTCGAGACAACCAAGACGGGTGTTTGGCGCCGCCACTTCGCTTTGACTGTGTCGACGTGAGTGGGAAAGGTCTCCCGAAAAACTCGGAATTGGACTTGGAGTTTGAGCGCAAGCAGTTGCGGACGGTGTGGTGGCCCGTGGCGCCTCCTGGATACGTGGCGCTGGGGTGTGTTGCCGGGACGAAAGAACTGCCGTTTGACCCTCCCAGCCTCGACAGCTACCGATGTGTCCGCGCCGATTTAGTGCATTCGTTCGATGGCCCCGTGAGCTGTATTTGGCACGCGCCCACTGTGTCGTTGTGGACTGCAGCATCCGACTACGCGCAGCATTTGATTCCCATCACGAATTCGGACGCGACGGCCGTGCACGTGCTTCAATTGTCCGAAGACGATCGAATTCTTTGTGCCCCCACCACCGTCGCGACAGTTCTCCGGTTTGTCCACGTGCTGCTTTCTGCCCAAACTTGCATGGGAAAGCAAACGCTGGCGCCAGAACTCACGTCGGCGCTGTTTGTTCTGGTCAAGCAAGCACTCGGCGACAAGCGCAGCCACCCTGTGAGTGTCGAACTCGTCCGTGCGCTGACGACCGTCATTCGACACGGGTGTCCGTGGAAGGACAAGGAAGGGGTCCTGTATTGCCGGTCCAAAGTCATGTTTTTGTACCAAGATCAAGAGGGCAGTCTGATGCTAAGTTCGCTCCTGCAAGCGCTCGTGGAGCTCCTCCTCGTCGTTGATAGCCACCACCGCGACGACACACGCGCAACGTTTGCAACCCTACCAGCATACGATGCCACATCCACACTGCCGTACACGTTTACCGTGCCGCAACAGTCGCTCGTGCATGCCGTCTATTCGGTCGGCAAAGTCGCCGTGACGAAGAACTCGGAGCACAAGTTTGGCGTAGGCTTTTGTGTGGAGGACAAGCGTCCAGCGGCTGACGGAGGAGGCGTCGGGGCTGATGCTGTCGTTGCGACGGTGCGGTTTGAAAACGTCGCACCGGTGCAAGTCTTGATGGAGACCCAGACACAGCCTGTGGCAACGCTTGTGTACTTTGAAGTGCACGTAAACGACGTCCAAGTGGGCACCAAGCCGTTGGGATTTTCGCTCGGGTTTTCCATCCGAGACTTTAGCGTCGACGGCGGCGTGTGTGTTGGCCACGCGAGCAAAACGTACTCGTTTACGCCGGCCACGGGTAAAATTCAGTGCGGCGACCCGTTGGTTGATTTGTGGCCATGGCCCGAAACAGCGCACGCCGTAGGACGCGGCGATGTGTTTGGATGTGGGTTGCGCCTAGACAGTCACGAGATATTTTTCACCAAGAACGGTCGGTGGCTTGGCACGGCATTCTCGTCCATCATTGGAGACATGCAGTTGCATCCGACGGTGTCCGTCGACGCCGATCAGTCGGTCGACGTGATGCTGAGCCACGCGGCGGAGAAGCAATTGTTCCCGCTTGATACGACCGACTGGGACAGTCCCATGCATGGCTTCGAGTGGTTTGACTACCTACGTCAAGTCCACAGCATCATGCACTCGCTGGTCGAACGCAAGCCGCTGCCGGACGAGTTTCTCCTGAGCGCAGACAACTTTTTGTCGTCGATTTCGACGGACGTGTGCCAACGTTTCTCGTCGGCGCACCCGTACGACTTGGATTTGCATGAACGGACGATCCATGTTGCGCTGGCAACGTCCATGCGCATCCAGTTGGACCCGCTGTGCGAGACGGCGGGATCGCACTGTCTTCAGATTGTCCAGGGCAGCAGCGACGACGCGGCCGAGTCGGAGGTGCGGACGTTCACGGGATCGTGTGGTGGCCAGGAGATTACAGTCGACGGCAACGAGTTCACGTGGCGATTTCCCGTTCAATCGAATTTTCAATGCCGCATCGATCGGGTGCGCAAGGGTCCGTACATCAAACTCGACAACCGCGACACACGTATGAGTTTGACTCGCGACAAGGGGTGGCAAAGCGCCATCGGCGTCGCGCGCTTCGACTCTGGCGTCCACACGTGGGAGGTCAAGATTGCAATGGTCACTGCGAGCTCGAATGTGTTTCTCGGGATTGCTCGCAAGGACGTTCGGTTTGATTCGTACCTTGGCAAAGACAATCGCGGGTGGGGTTGGATTGGCAATCGCGCGCTGTGGCACAACGGATCCAAGCAGCGTGGCACGTACGGAGAAAAGTTCAAGACCGGCGACGTCATTCGGATGGTGCTCGACTTGAAGCGCGGCACGTTGAGCTATGCTTTGAACGGGAAGGACCTTGGGGTCGCATTTGGACCTGGTGGCACTGGCCCGAAGCTCGAAGGGACATTCTACCCAGGGTTTGCTCTGTACAACCAACGCGACGTGGTCGAGTTGATTGGAGGCCATCGCATGGAAGACTGCGACGCCGTCGGCAGTGCCACCGGTGGACTCGTCGACGACAGCGCCATGATGTACGCAAGCGACGACGAGGAAGTCGACGTAGCTGCTGAGTCTGTTCCGAGTTACCGCGTCGAGTTGGCCACCGTGCTGAGTCAGATGGGATTTCCCATGGATTGGTGCGTGTACGCATTGAAGCATTGCGACGATGACGCCGAACAAGCAGCGGACTTTATCCTTGGCAACATGCATGCGATGGAAGCACTCGTGCGCGAAGAAGCGGAAGCGTACAGTCGATCGCTGGTGGCGCGAGAAGACATTCCAGTCCCCACTCCATCCGACGATATCGTCGACGTGGCGGCATCGACCGCCACGGGTTCCGACGACTTGCCGACGTCGGACCTTGACGCGCCATCCATTCCCCCGGCAGACGGGGCTCCCGCTCCGCCTGGAGTCGCAGGCACACATGAAAAATGGGGCGTTGCGTTTACGGTCGTTCCTGAATTTTCCGTGGCGGGAAGGCAACTCCTGGCGCTCCGGTATGCCCCCGCCCTGAAAGAGCTCCATGCCGCGCAAGCCGTGTTTGAACTCGAGCACGACGAGGCCATCGTGACGATTGTCAACACGTACTGCGAAGCGAAAGCCGAAGCGAGCATTCCGTGCGATCCCCTCCGCCTCCGCATGGACGAATTCCACCCGACGGAAGACGACATGCGCGTTCACGCATGTTTGACAGGCATTCCGCTCGCGACCCTTCAAGCGCGGTTCCTCATCTTGCGCAATTTCAATGCCCGTCTTCAGCACGTGCTGTCGCTCATCGACTACTCGGCAACGGACTCGGCCCTGACCAAGTGCATCCGCGCGCTGCGGGGATGTGTGTTTCAAACGGTCAAGCTCAACTGGTGGTTCAGTATCCTGAAAGAGCAGCAGACGCCAGCTGCGGCCCGTCCCGAGATCGAAGTGGACCGACTCAAGGCCGCCGAGTCGACCAACGGCGTCCTCCATTCCGTGTACGCCCAATCGTTTGCGCAATTGCACCCGCTCCAAGGGTCGCTCTTGCGGGGCCACGACCGAGCGTTCAAGTGCCAGTTTGTCGGGGAATTTGGCGACGATTTCGGCGGGTTGTACCGAGAGATTCTGGCGCAAATGAGCACCGAGCTGCAGACACCGACGTTCCTGCCGTTGCTCGTCCCGTGCCCGAACGAAATCAACAAAGTCGGCGAAAACCGCGAGCTGTTTGTACCCAACATCCACCTACGCAACGACGTCAAGCTTGTGCAAATGGCCGAGTTTCTTGGCAAGTTGATGGGGATTGCCATTCGGAGCAAGACGCCGTTGGATTTGAACCTGCCGCCCGTCGTGTGGAAATATTTGGTCGACCAGCCCGTCGACCGCGCCGACATCGAGTCGATTCACCAAGGGTGCTTCCAGGTACAGCGCGTGCGCCATTCGTCGAGTGGCTGTGGATTCTTTCTCGTGCGTAGGTGGTCGACACAATCCACAACATGACGAAGCACGGCATCACGCCCAACATGTTTGACGACCTCATCGACGCGACGTTTACCGTGCTGTCCAGCGACAAACAAGAAGTGGAGCTCGTGCCTGGCGGGAGGCAGGTCCGCGTGACTTGGGACGACAAGGTACCGTCGATTTGGACTGGTGATCGAGGCACGGCTGACGTGTCTATACAGGAGGAATACGCGCAAGCTGCGGAAGCGTACCGCCTCACCGAGTTTAAGCCAGTGTGCCAAGACGTAGCCCGAGGCATTGCAACGATTTTGCCATTGCCGACGCTGGGGCTCCTGACGTGGAAGGACTTGGCCACCCTCACGTGCGGCAAGTACACGGTAGACGTGGAGCTGCTCAAGCGGCGGACGTCGTACGGAGACGGGTGCTCTGGCACCGACCCGCACATCGCGTACTTTTGGGACGTCTTGCGCGAGTTCACCGATGCGCAGAGATCGTTGTTTCTCCGGTTTGTGTGGGGTCGGTCCCGGCTCCCTACCCACGCGGCCGACTTTACGCAAGATTTCAAAATCTCAGGCATGCCCAAAGCCGTGGGCAAAGCCGACGCGTATTTGCCCCTGGCCCACACATGTACGTTCGTGACGCATCATGGCTTTGGTTGAGGGTGGTGCATGTCGTTTGTAGGCTTCTTCTCCATCGACATGCCTGCATATTCGTCGAAAGCCGTGATGCGAGAAAAGCTCATGTATGCCATCACGCATTGCTCGTCTATCGACGCCGACAACACGACGGTTGCCCAGCGGGCTGGTCAAGGCCTCAACTGGACCCGAACGACCGCGGGCGAAATGTAAACGATAAAGCTGTAATCGTGCCTGACGAATGCATCATCCCGTTTCGAGTTGACGGTAGTTGCCAGATCAAGGACGAATGGGTACGAGACTACGTCGCCAGATTGATTCGGATGGGGGAGGACGAGACCTTGATGTTGCGGGTGCCCTTGGCTGACGAAGGAGGATGCAGTGTTACCCCAGAGTACGCTCCATGCGATGGCAACGGGACCGCGGTGGGGGGTGGCTGCAAGTGGGATGCCTACGTAGCGATATCAAGAGATGCATGGGCACAGGGTCGGCGTACGTAGTGATTTGGATACAGTCGAATGTTTTCGGCCGTGAGCTGATGCTCCACGGGTGGAAGGCGGACACCGTATTCGCTCGAAATGGGTGGAAGGGGCAACGCATTCCGCTTCTCGGCAAGCTCCATCATCAACTAACGACAAACATCGTGAGCCCCCATGGTCATGTGTACACTCGGAGAAATACTTCGCGAGATGGTAGTTGAGAGTATGTGTGGTGAAGTCGCGACGCAGCCGCAAGACGAACATCGTCGGCATCAATGGCTGGTTTGTTGGCGTACGTGGAGTACTCCTGCGCATCCACGAGTATTTCCGACGTGTACCCTAGCACATGATGTGACGACGATGCTTCACAAAGCAACGATGCATACGATGTACAAACTCGAGCAACTGCGGGATCACGCGGGGCTCGTACTTGTCGACCCCCATCGACGACAAGATCCACTTGAGGACAGCGACGTCTTCAGGTTCCTGCTTGTCTTTTGCCATCGCGTGCACATCATACACATCCTCCTCGACTAACGCAGACCCCGACGCAGCAGCCGACGATGCCGTGGACGTCTTTTGCTTCTTCGGCGCCTTCTCCTTTGGTGCGTCTTTCGGGTCGCTCATAATGGAGTACGCTAGGACATCCGGATACCCCCGACAAGTTCGGATAAACATCCGGTTACAGGATTGGGATATTCGGAGGACAACAAGTTTTCGACGTGTCAAGCGCGGCGAACAAAGCGGACACTTGATCGCGAGGTGATGATTGAGTATAGATGAGCTGAGGAAGGAGGTTAGCAGGACTTCTAGTACAGAACCCGTACGTGCGTTAAGCAGCTTGGTTATACATCCTGGTTGGGAACGGTAAGGTTCAACAGCTCAACCGAGAGAGGGCTCACGAAAATGCCAATCGATGGCGAGCTCGGTGCGGGGTGTACGGACACAAGGAGTTCTTTTGAGGTGATGAAGACCCCATTGCATTCAAAAAGATTCGAATTAGACGTTGGAATCGTCGGCATGAAACATGCCAGAGGCGATCCAACTTCCTATGGCAGAATGTCCAGTGGTGTTGCGAAAAATTTCGACAATTCAACCGTGTCGACGAAGGCATCAGATGTGGTTTCAAGAATCGTCGTAATAGAGATTCCCTTCGGAAGGGCACGAACAGGCCCGTGACTTTCCCGAGGACGCCTTGACCAGGCTGCGAGACATGGCAAACAAGTTTCCCTTTGCAGCCGCCTCCTCCAATGACGCAATCATCGCTCATCTTAGTTCATTCGAGTGCAGTCCTTCGTCTCACCGTAAATTTCACAGCATTGTCTCGGCGACATGCTTGGCGCTTGACCATGGAATCTGCACCTGTTTCAAAATCCTGGTCGCTGGCACTGACTCACCCTTCGGGGTGATGCGCAGTAGCATTGGCGAATGCAACGTAACGCCCACGGGATGGCTAAGCTTGCGATCCTTCCGATGGGGGCGACGGGCAGTGACCTAAAGCACAGTAAACACCAGTGACACATGTCCTGGATCTTGCGGTCGTACACCATTGTCATTCCTCATCGACGCCGCGGACGCAGCTGCACACAGGAAACGAATGTAATAATTTGTGAAAACGCAGCTGCAAGGAGGAATATCCAGTAGAGCGGCGAGGGCGGCTACGCCGCGCAAACCCCACGAGGCCGTTGTTCTCGTCGTACCGCCAACAACGGCGGTACGACGAGACTGCTTGGCCAAGGCGGAAAACATTGCCACGCTCTCCGCGCCGTGCGTGTCATGCCTGTCTGGTCAGTCAATCCATGCCTCGGGTGGCGTCGGTGGGGAGGGTTCTTTTTATGAAGATTCAATCGCTATAACGCGAGAATCTCCAACGAACTTGCCGTTTCTGCGGTGGGTGCGAGGTCAGCCAACGAGAACTCGCCCTCCCTGTCAAGATTCGAACCTATTTATTGTGCAAATGACCCGAATCTGTCGCTGGGAGCGCACAGTTTGCCCAGCTTTTTATGACACTTGGTGTTTGTATGTGTGGGAACAAATGGGGGGAGGCATTTTATTCGTTCTCGGTGGCGAAAAAAGAATGCGATTCTCGGGGTAGTGTAGTGGCACCCACCGCCACCAGAATCAAAATCGCTAGGTCGTTGCCACTCCAAGTTGTGATGCTGGCCCTCTCTGCTCCGTCGCACCCGCCCATGCGTCACACCTACACACATGACACATCAAACGTAGTCGAGAGCCCGTGTCGACTTCACAACTTCAGCGTCGAGATGAATCTGTCGATCGCTGCCTCGAAAGGGTTTGCGATCCCGATGCAAATGGAGGCGTGCAAACGCGGGTGGGTCGCGCCATTCCTCCTCCACCTGCACCAAATGCTTCGACGAGAGTCGCCTCAGATCATCCGTTGGACGCCCAACGGTAAGGCGTTCGAGATTCTCGACAAGACCACCATGACCGAGAAGATTTTGCCCAAATACTTTCGCAACAAAAACTTTGCCAGCTTTCAGCGCCAACTCAACTACTTTGGCTTCCGGAAATGGTCCAAATCCCGCGCGATGCACTCAACCTACAGCCGAGACCACTTTACACGTGACAACTTCGATGAACTCGTCTATGTCAAGCGCCAGAGTAAGCGAAAGAGCGGCGGCACCGAATCCAGCGACAAGAGCGATATCGACATGGAAGAGGCGTCCAATTCAACCGAACTCAACTCTCTTATGAGCTCTCCTATCAAGACGCAGCCTGCCGTGTCATCAAATTTGCGGATATCATCTCTCTTGAGCCCCGACATTGACACAGCTCCCACCAACCCCGCCCAGTCTTTGGTCGATCTGCAGCAAGGATGCGGCGCCAAGGAAACTCATTCGCCTTCCGCTCTTCCTTGCGTCAATGCCCCGCGGTTCAGCCTTCCGTCTCTCTCGGAATTTCGCCAAAACTCCCCCCAAGTTGGCATGCGCCTTCCATCGCTTCATCAGATCGTTCCGTCCATCCAAGGATTTTGGCCAGTCGAAGGCCAGATTGAAGACGGGCTCTGCTCGCCATCATCCAGCTCCAACTCCACGCAAACGCCCTCAAGAATCGAGTACAACGTCAAGGAGCTGGAGGGCCTGAACGCCGCACGATTTATTCGTGGCCTCTACGACATGATCTCGTCGAAAGAAGGAGACTGCATTCGGTGGAACGACGACGGCAGGTCGTTCATCGTGATCAACTCGTCCAGGCTAGCGTGGAAGTCTTTACCCAAGTACTTCAAACACAACAAGTTTCGCAGCTTCCAACAACAGCTCAACATGTATGGCTTCCACAAGGAGTCCAAAGGGCGCGCCGAGCCCTGCACGTATAGCCACCCGTTGTTTCGCCGAGGGTGCTTCGCTGACCTGTGTCGTATCGCACGCAAGACAAGCCTCTCCTAGACCAGCTTGCCATCTCCGTGCCGTCCACACGCTATTTATGACCCTCCCATCTTCCTCTCAAGTGGAGGTAATTTATTCCCTTGGTATGTTCATCGGCTCTCGTCGTTACCGCCGCGCCGCCATCGTGGAACCACACTCATTATTTTGAGAACATCATTTATTCAATCTCCAGAACTCATTTATTCCGATTATCCCGTTGTTGATCAAAGGCAGAACGATTGTGGACAAAATGATAGGATCGTCAACTATTTCTTAGAATAAATGATTCACTTCACCGATTCTGCCTTTGATTTGGAATTTGTATGGAATGACTGCAGCACATTTCAAACGAAAAGCCAGCCGACAGAATCCGGATAAAAATCCGGATATCTTAAGTCCGAAATGACTGAAATACCCTACGGTGTAGTTTTGACCATAATTCGGCAACATTTGAGCATTACGCCCACACACGGTCAAGTCGTTGCCGCGGCCTCGTACGTAGTTGCGCCATGGGAAACGAAGCATCTCAAATGGGAGGGTCCAGTCTGGACATGTCGTCGCGGAACATGAGCAGCAACTCGCTCGCGGACCTTGGCCTCGAGTCGATGAATGGCCGTGACAAGTATCACACGGACGCCAACGACAAGCTCGAGTCGCTCGACTTGCAAGCTGGCCTTGACTGGGAAGGGTTTGTTCAGAAGAAAGGGCATCTTGTGCGGAATTGGAAAGTTCGGTACTTTACGCTCGAAGGCAACCTCCTATCGTACTACGAAACCAAGGAAGACGCGCGGAAGCGGCGGTTCCTGAAGGGCCGCGTGCACTTGACAACCGTCATGCTAGTGGAGGGACGTAGTGCTCACGGGTACGACCTAACGTTCACAACACAAGAGAGCAAGCCGTTCCACGTGTCGACGACCACCGAACTCGAGCAGATTGCGTGGGTCAAAGCGATGGAGGTATGTCGCCTTGGCACGTCCCGTCATATCACGTCGATTTGCAGGCAGGGATCGACTTTTATGCGCTCAATAACTACGGTCACTCTGTGTACGGCAGCTCGTTGCTGGCCAAGTCGATACCGTGCAATGCGGAGATCATCTACTCGTTGTATCGGCGAATGCTTGCGAACGAGCTGTCGCTGTTTGACGAGTTCATCTCGTACTTCAACAAAGGTGTGTCATGAAAACGCGCGTGTGTGTTGTCGCAGGGGTTTCCTCACGCAAGTCTGTTCAGACTTGGTCTTCACGTCGCACTACCCGCGCAAGTTTCCGTTCCACGGCGACTTTTTCGGGCGCGAGGGACTTCTCGTGTACTTGAGCTGCTTCCGCGAGAACATTGATCTGGTCGAGTTTACGATCAGCGACGTCCAAGTCGACCGCGACGGCAAGTCGGCGATGATCAAAGGCCACGAGAAGGTTCGATCCAAGGCGAACGGAGTCGAGATTGTCCAGCCGTGGGTCCATCGCATTCGATTCGGGCCGTACGGCAAGATTCTTCGCCTCAAGATCGAGATCGACACGAAGATGGCCAAGGGAAATTGGAATAGCATGAACGTGATCCCGGTCTATTCGGAGGAGACGCTGACGGCAATGCGATCGACGCGGGCGCTGAGTATTTCAATGCACGACTTCACCGTGTACAACGTGATTGGGAAGGGCGGGTTTGGCACGGTACGAGCATGCTCTTGACCGAGGCTGACGTGGGCGACGCAGGTGGTGAGCGCCGTCAAGAAGAGTGACGGCCAGATTTACGCGCTCAAGATTCTCGAAAAGGGCAAAATGACCAAGTACGACATTGAGTCGTCGTTTACGGAAATGCGGGTGGCGCAGAACATCCACCACCCGTTCATTGCGGGCCTCCGCATTGCATTCCAATCAACGACCAAGTTGTTTTTGGGCATGCACTACTACAACGGCGGAGATTTGTTTCACCACATGAGCAAGGGCGCGACGTCGCGGATCTCGCCGCAGCGGGCCAAGTTTTACACGGCCGAGCTCGTCCTCGGCATCCACCATCTGCACAAACACGACATTTTGTACCGGTATGGCGTGGTCTCGGTCGCCTGCCCGTCGCTGATGGGGCTACGATGCAGGGACATCAAGCCGGAAAACGTCATGATTGACGCCGACGGGCACATTGCGCTCGTCGACTTTGGTCTGGCCAAGCTCCATGTGAGCGAATTCAAAGGCGCCAAGACGATGGCGGGGTCCCCGCAGTATACAGCGCCGGAATTGCTGCTGCCCAAGGCCAAGCGCAGCTACGGCAAAGCCGCGGACTGGTGGAGCCTTGGCATCTTGCTGTACGAAATGAGTGTCGGCAAGTCGCCATTCTTCGACTCGAACATTGAAAAGATGTACCACAAAATTCAAAACGACCCGTTGATGTTTCCAAGCAACCCGGAAACGTCGCCGGAAGTACAAGATTTGCTACTGGGGGTACGCTGTGATTGTGGTGCGAATTCTGTGACTTGACACAATGCATCGTGGCTAGCTCTTGCGGAAAGATCCACACCAGCGCTACGGCACAAACTCCATTTCGGACATTCTGGACCACCCATTCTTTGTCGGGATTGACTGGGACTTGTTGCTCCAGAAGAAGATTGAAGCGCCATGGAAGCCCCACTTGACGTCGACACTGGACGTCAAGTACGTCGACACAGAATTCACAGAGCTCGATGTGAGCGACGAAGTGCTCAGTCCCACCGACAAGGCATCCAAGGGCATGCTGTTTGACAAGATTGAAAAGATGTTTGTCCCTCGCAACGCGAAAAAGGCCGCCGGTCCCGTCCAAGATCCGACTTTCAAGGACTTTACGTACTATTGCCAAGACCCGAACGCCCTCGTGGATGCCACGTCCCTCGTGGACGAGCTGCACAAGCCCAACACGTTGGATGCGGACTTGAATGCTGACTGCGCTCCGACCGCCAACGGCACCCCCCTGAGTTCGTTCATTGCGAACGACTCGAGCTCGGACAACCTTGGCCGATCCCCTGACGTGCTCCCCGTCGACCCCCGGTTGAATCCCCCGTACAACTCGACCATGCCCCACGAAGTTGAACATCGCAAGAACACGCCACCGCCTCTATATGTTCCCCCACTGCGCAGCAATCCGCTACCCCCCAAGCCGAAAGACGCGCGAACACCGTCGCCAAACGTGTCGACCGCTTCCTCGGAAGAAAAAGACGACTCGCCCGACGGCGTCGTTCGGCGCAACCCCACGACCACGCCTGTGTTTTTCCGTAATTCGTTTCGACATTCGTTTCGCGCCCCGACGGACTAGTGCAGTGGCGTGTGTATTATCCACGACAATATACCCCTCGTTTTATTACGTTAGAACTCGTCAAAGTCGTCAAAGGTGTCGGTCGCCTGTGGGCGCGACGGATCGGTCGCATCGCCGACCACGATCGCATGGAGGCCACGGAATAGCATGGTGAACCCGCCACTCGAGTACATGCGAAACACGACCCAGAGCCCGACCAGAGCAAAGATGTGGCGCATGGACCGGTTCTTGGAAAATGCCTTGTCGACCGCTACGTCGTTGGTTCCGTCGCCAGTCCCCGGTCGCGGCATGTCGACGAGCTTGGTGGCTAGTACATGTCGCACCATTTCCTACAACACGTGCGTACGTTGGGTGTGAGCGAAGAGAAGGCGAGTGTACATTCAACTGGTGCTTGTCCGTGATCGAATGGAAGTCGACGCCTTCCGCCTGGAGGAGCTGCGAAATTTCTTCCTTTGTCATAGTCTTGACGATGTCGTCCGCTTCCGCCAAGGCGGCTTGGAATGTTGACGTGCCTTGGGACGAACGAGTCTGAGCCAAACAAGTTGCCGTTGCATGGTGTACCGGACGACGACATGGTTGGTTTTGGCACCGTGCCTTTGGACAGGTGCTCGTCCTGGAGGTCCGAGAGCATTTGCTGGACACGCTTGTCGTTCAAGTCGATCCTATGCACCGAAGACGCATCAGTCGCGCGGCCAGACCGTCGTGGCGCACCCATTCTTCTTGCCGTCCTCGATCATTTCAGGCGTGGGGTTCATAAAGTCGACGCGAGGAGGACGCGCTCGGATGGCTGCCTTGGCTTGGTCAATCTTTTGCCTCAACTCTTTCGCCTCTTCGACTTTCCCACTTTGTTCGTACATGCGAGCGACCATTTCAGCATCGTCAACCTGATTTTCCACGTGTGTCACGAAAAAGTGGCCCGAGTCGAGCTCGCGTACTTCTTTCCGGAGACGCTTTTGATTCTCCAGCGTCTTGTCTGGGGCGGTCAAGTCGGTGGCATCGGTGTCGTCAACGATCGTGCCTCGGTTGAACATGCCACTAAACGTTTGTTTGTCCAGTTTGCGCTGCTGGGCATTCTCTTGTCGCAGTCGTCGGTACAACGTCCTGCGATGCCAAGTGAACACTCGATGTCGCGGCAAAGTCACAATTGGCGAACCTGCATTCGACGTTCTCGGGGTCGTAGCGGCACGCCAATTCCAAATCGGCCAAGGCCTTTTCGAACTCGACCGCGCCGGACGACAGTGGCGTGATCAACGCTTGCGCTCGTCTGCCAACCAAGCACCATCATGTGCCCAACGTTGTCAGGGAGAAGTGGACCACGTACCGATAAAATGCCTTGGTATTCGTGGGATCGATCGCCAAGGCGTCCCCACACGCTGATATGGCGAGCGCGAATTCTTTTACCTTTAGTTTGCACACTGCAACCATCCCAAGGCCGTGTTGAGTCGTCGACGGGGGATTCGTGTCGGGAAGTAGATCGTACCGCTGATGTTCAAGTACAACGTGACTTTGAGTGTGTCCAGCTCGGCTTGTGCGCCGGCATTGTCAGCTTTGTAATCGACGACAATGATGTCGTCGTCACGAATTCCCTTCTTTTTCCAGTCCGGGTCTGTGTTTTCGCAGTACTTGAAGAGCGCGAGGGCCTTTTCGTACTGCGCGACGGCTTCTTCAAACTCTCCTTTTCCAAAGTGCGAGTTGCCTTGGGCTTTGATTTCGTTTGCCAGGCGCAGGCGAGCCTCGAATGGCTCTTGTCGCGCACTCACGATCGGCTCTTGCAAGAACATGGAGTGCTGAAAGTACTGCGGCCACGAGTCCCACACAGGTCGCAGCGTGGCTTGCTGGGCTCCTTTTAACTTGACAGCTTCGGCCATCAAGTTGCCAAACGGCGTGCCTGGTTGCATCATTCCTTCCGTCAACGTTGGCACGGTGCAGTGCGAGGGCGATTCCAAGATATCTGTTTGCCCAAAGGTCACGATGGCGACATGAAATAGTGTAAATCTCAGACTATCGGAAATTAGTGTGGGGCACTTTGTTCAAATGCACTGGGCTCCTTCGGTCGGCAGGATGGGCCTGAGCGCGGACCACCGCAAAAACACAAATGAATTAGAGGATAAGTTAATACACGGGCAGGCAAGGGCCCTCCCGACGTCGCTGGGCAAGCGTGGATGGGTGTGATCGCCGCCGCTGGTGATGTTTACAGGGATTCATGGAGGGGAGACGGCCATCCTTCGTTTTTTCTTTGATTTTCTCGAGTTGGGCCACGAGGGGCAGCTGCAGAGCAAGACCGAAGGTTACTGAGGGTACTTGCGTTGAGGAGTTGGACTGGGCGACACACATGAGACGTTGCCGATTCATCGACCTTTCCATGGAGATTGCACGTACCACGCAAGATGGTCCAACAGCATCTGCGCTCGGTCTTCCTGCACCTGCATGGCCAAAAATGGGGCGTCGAGCTGGTCCACCGTGTACCCTGCATGAATGCAGTGGTGAGCCCTCGACCAACACAACATCTCCAGGTCACCATACCAGGTTTCAGGGGCTTCACAGGTCGAAACTCGGCGCATTGCGAGCGCAACTTGCGGCGCATCGTGTCCAAATCTTCTTCGGGGCACTCCATCCCGCGAACATGCGGCGTTGTGTCCTTGTCAAGGTCGTACACGACTTCTTTGCGGCACAGCGGGCACGTTACGTGATTCCACAACCACTTGTCGACGCACAGCGCGCTAGCCACCCAGTTATGCGACGTTGCCATACCAGACAAAATCCTTGATGGATCACGCACTGGAAAAAATGCTGACATGGCGTCAACGTAACGATGTGGGACCCGATTTCATAAGCGACTTGACAAATCTACACAATGCATGCCGTCATGGACAACAAATCGACTCGAATGGCCGCACCGTGCAGTGTTTTTCGGTCTCGTTCACTGTGCCGTATGCAATGGGCAGGTTGTATCGAATCTCTTTGGGGAGACCCCTACAAGCGGCATGAAAGGCTCAGGTCATCCGTCGAGAGCAGCTGCGGCAACGAGATGTGACCTACTGTTCTTCAAAGTAGCTGTCGCTGTCGGGCGAATTCGTCATGTGGTCAGGGTCATGAAAGTGCGAGCTGCCGCTGCACATTTTATTGAGGCAGCCGTCAACGCGGCACTTGTCCCATACAAATGACGGCTCGAGCTTGTACAACTGATGCAATTCGTCGTCGCTACAGCTCCAGGTGACGCACGAACACGACCCAAAAAGGTCACGTACCTCGAGCTGCAGCTGAGCACTCCCCCACCGTCTTCATATGGCGGCATGCAAAGGCTCGACTCATGGCCCGTCGGCGACAGATACGACGCTTGCGATGAAGTGGACTGCAACGGCAACGTATTGGTGTCGATCTTGATCGCCTTCTTTACCTTGGATTGCTCCATGTTACGCTTATTGATACAATCGGACAGCAGCGCACGCGCCAACCCTTCCACTGCATCGATACGGATCGGTGCGGCGGTCGGGCGGAACATTGGCGACGAAGGGTCTTTTGAAGAATCGGAGGTTAGTGCCCAAGCAAACGTTTCTTCGTCGCCGCCGGTGAATCTACTGATCCAGCCAGAGGACCCTCCTTCACCACGTGGGGCTTCAACAGGGGCGAAGGATAGTTCTTCGCGGCGAGTTGATAGTGGTTTCTTGGCCCGCGGCTTCAACGCTTGAACGCTGGATCCATGTTTAAATGGCGTCGGGTGGAGAGATCCAAGTCCAGCGCGCGGGGGACGGGTATGCCAATTTAAGTCAGAATTGGTCGGTAAAGGTGTGGGCACAGGAGCCGCCGATGACAAAGTGGATTTCCTCGCCGACAGCGACCGCATACTGGATGAGGCACGGGAAACCGACGACGCAGAGTGTTTCGGACGCAGGCGAGGTCTCGAATTGGGGATGTCTATGTTTCGGCTGCGGCTTTGCAACCCCTCTCGAACGGTGGAGGATGACGGAGCCGCGGCATTCCCGGTATTCCCTACACTGAAGTATGGTGTGCCTGCTGAAGGGCTGTTGCTGTTGCTGCCTCCCCCCCCTCCCGTCCACTTGGCCACGGGGATGAGTGGCGAAGTACCTTGCACACTTGTCGAGTTGTCAAGTTGATACGTAAAACTGTGCTTTTGGGACGCGCTCATTCCAAGAGCATCGAGCAAGGACCGACCGCCTTGACCTTCCGCGCTGGGTTAACAACAATGGAGCAATAGAAATTTCCAACTGTTGGCTCATCCGGATATGGCCATTGACGTTACACAAATTTATATCTCTTCGAAATCCTCAACGCCGATCTTGGACGGGCCATTTTCGGCGTCGGTTTTATAAAAATACAAAGGCACCGTTATCCGGAAACATCCAACTGTATTCATGGTGGGCGGGCCATCAAGGACTCGTAAAAGCAGCACCTACCCGTCGAAGAACCAGCGCTGGTGGATGCGGCTCCGCAACCTCTGTATACACACGAGCGCGCGCATCACGTGTGGTTTGTCCATATGCAATAGCCTCGACATTGTTGCACGCTTCCCTCTTTGCTTAAACTAGTGAATCGTTGAAGTCTAGCGCGGCAACGCTTCTGTATCCTGGGTTTTGCTGGACATTTCTGATTGCAACAGGCCGACTTGTCAGAAGTCCACCACACGCCGAACACGGACGAGATTCTCGACGGTCGAACCTCACTTTGCATCGACCACTCGAGCGGTGGGCGCACGGATCAAGCAACCAGTTGAAACAACGACGCCCCAGCGACCTTACTGCGCCTTGGAATTCCAAGGGGGAATTTGCCCCGTTTTGAAACTACTTGTATCCTGAATCTTGGGGAGATTTCCTTGGTTTCACAAGAATATGGGGTTGCTGTTTAACGTTCGACAGGGTTTATTTCTATACACGCAGCTCCACTCAATCGCCAATTTGGCCGACCGCAACGCGGGGTGAGCCGCCGCATATCCAACGAACAAGCGACAGACAAGACGTATCCTTGTTGACTCGCGACGAGTGGGGAGAGACACTGACCCAGCGCTCATGGAACAACTGGGAACGCCAGGGGTTACTTGTACCAGTATGAAGGTACACGGCGTTTAATATCCTGGTAAACGCGTTAAACTTGGGATTCTTGATTAGGGTCGTTTAAGGGCAATATGTCCATATTTCATTGGAAATGCCCTATCCTGGTCACCAATCAAAAAGTGTTGAACCCGCCCGCCAACACCTGAAAACTTCAATTCGACACCGTGGGCACGACGGCGCAATGCTGCGGTTGTTCTCGCGATCCTTGCCGATGCGGCGGCCGTCCTTCCTTCGCAAGCACATGTCTTCTGCGTACACTCACGTAAGCGACATGCCTGTCACGTCCCTTGCGATCTCAAAGCCAACCATGCGCGCGTTGACCGAAGTCATGGGGTACAGCTTCCTCACCAAGGTGCAAGCGACTACGTTGCCTGTGATTTTGGAAGGCAAGGACGTTCTTGCAAAGTCCAAAACGGGTACGGGCAAGACGATGGCCTTCCTGATCCCGACAATCGAGACACTCGTGCACACGCATCTCCACAAGAAGCAGAAGAACAATATCTCGGCCCTTATTCTGTCGCCTTCCCGCGAGCTTGCGACTCAGATTGAAGTCGAGGCCAAAAAGCTGTCGACGTTCCATCCAATCCACATCGCATGTATCGTAGGCGGTGTGCCCATGAGCAAGGACTTGCACCGCCTGCACCACCCCGACGGCATCGATCTCTTGGTGGCAACCCCTGGACGTCTGCAGGACCACCTAAACAGCGACAACGGCGATTTGGTCAGACGTCTCGCGGGCATTCGCATTCTTGTGCTTGACGAAGCCGATCGTCTCTTGGACATGGGGTTTCGTCGCGACATTGAAAAGCTTCTTCAATTTCTCCCCGTGTCCAGGCGCCAGACCTTGCTATTTTCTGCAACTCTTCCGACGTCGCTGGACCAGATTCAGAAACTTGCACTCAAGACGAACCACGTCTTCATTGACACGGTTGGTGACGACGAGGACCAAACACACGTGCACGTGAAGCAGAGCGTCGTGACATGTCAATTCAAGGATCACATCGCCGCCCTGGACAAACTTCTGGATGCGCACATTCAGAGCTCTCCCGATGGGTACAAGATCATCGTGTTCTTCCCGACGGCGCGCGCGGCGGGATTCATGGCGCAGCTGTTTCTGCATGCGGGGTACCCTGTCCTCGAAATGCATTCACGCAAGTCCCAATCGCATCGCACGAAGACTGCGGCCAACTTCCGCGCCAGAGACAATCAAATCCTGTTCTCGTCGGACGTTTCGGCCCGCGGTGTCGACTACCCCGGCGTGACGTTGGTTATCCAAGTCGGTCTCACGGAGAAAGAGCAGTACATCCATCGACTGGGACGTACGGGGCGAGCAGGCAAAGACGGTGAAGGCGTCTTGTTGCTGTCGCCGTTTGAAACGCCGTTCTTGAACGAGCTCAACGACATGCAGCTTGTCGAGACGACTGTGCCAAGAGGCAAGGCACCCCGAGTGGAAAACTCCATGCGCCGTGTCCAGTCCAATGCGGACCTGCGCAAAGCTGCAGAACAAGCGTATCAAGCGTGGTTGGGCTACTACAACTCGAACTTGAGACGGTTGAACATGAACAAGGAGCAGCTTGTAGACATGGCCGAAGAGTACAGTCGCATCGTCGGACTCAAAGAAGTACCGGCCCTGCAGAAGAGCATCATTTCCAAGATGGGGTTGAAGGGCACTGGGCTCCGGGTCGCCGCCACAAGTGGCGGAGGTAGTGGTCACAGCGGAGGCCGAGGCGGCGGATTCAGCGGAGGCCGAGGCGGCGGATTCAGCGGAGGCCGAGGCGGCGGCAGTGTTAACAGTGGCGCTCGTGGTGGTGGAAGCAGCCGAACCCACCTGCAATCATAGTGCGTACACCAGTTGTGTCCGAAGCATCCTCGTTAATTTCCTGGTGAATATTGACGTACGACAAATGGTGAATTCTGCAAAGTGTTCTTATTTCTGCATTTCACTTCAAAGCAATTACAGGAAAACATCTTCATTATTACATATTCAGCCGTTCGAACACCCAACGGAGCAATGAAAACGTGGTGGTACGAGGTCGGAAGTGTTTCAAATTCTTCGATCCTCGACGTTTTTCTGGAATCGTATTCGTTCAAAGTAGTACTTCCTCAGTTCCACATTTATCATTAG